GTCCCCCGGTCCTCCTTGTCCTCCCCCAGCCCGGGCTCCTAGGGGAAAATGTCAGGGATCCCGGGCGCCGCGGAGCAGAGCATCCGCCCCTACAAGTCGAGCGAGCAGTACCTGTACGCCATGAAGGAGGACTTGGCCGAGTGGCTCAAGGAGCTCTACGGCCTGGACATCGAGGCGGGCACCTTCGTGAAGGTGCTGGAGACGGGCGCCGTGCTCTGCTCCCCTCCATGCCAACAACGTCACGCACGTGGCCGCCGAGTTCGCGCGCGCCTGCCCCGAGCGGGCCCGCCGCCTCCGCCTGCCCGCCACCGGCGTCACCTGCAACGACGTGGCCCAGCCGGGCACCTTCCAGGCCAGGGACAACGTCTCCAACTTCATCTGGTGGTGCAGGAAGGAGATGGGTATTAAAGGTAAGAGCTGCGGCGCGATGCAGGAGCCGGGCTCCCACTCATCCCAATGTCAGGTTTGCAATTCCCCTCTGCCAAATCCGGGTGTTATTCACAAGTATTTTGTTTTTATTCCCCATTTTATTCCCTGCTGTCATGGGCACCCAGCTGCCTGGCCGCCCCCAGTGGTAACTGTGTTTGCTCGGGTACAAAAATGTGCTGTGGAAGTGGAAATGCAAAGGGTATGTGCGGTCGCATGCTGCTGCCAGGGCTTAAGGCCATCAGAGCACTGTCCTGCGCCAAGCAAGGTCCTGCAAACCCCAGGCCTCGCCATCTGTGGTCATCCCAGGAAGACCATGGATACTGCATGGTTGGATTTGTCCCCAGGGCACCCACTGGAATTGCGAGGTTTGGGGGTACCATGAAGCAGCATCTTTGCATTTACCTGCCTTGCCCAGCCACCCTTCCCTGTTCCTCGCCCAGAGGTCCTGATGTTCGAGACGGAGGACCTGGTGCTGAGGAAGAATGAGAAGAACTTTGTGCTGTGCCTGCTGGAGGTGGCGCGCCGGGCGTCCCGCTTCGGCATGAGCGCCCCAACCCTCGTGCAGATGGAGGAGGACATCGACGAGGAGCTGCGCCAGGAGCTGGACCTGCCGCCGGGGGAGGCCCCAGTGCCCCGGCCCCCGCGGAGGCCTCAGGACCTCCAGAACCTGGACCAGATGGTAGGAAGGTGCTGGGTGGCCAGGGAGCCGTGGGGGACGCAGGGAGCCCTGCGAGGATGTGTCGCTGCACCCGCAGGTCCAGCACCTGGTGAGCCGCTGCACCTGCCCCGTGCAGTTCCCCATGATCAAGATGTCGGAGGGCAAATACCGCGTGGGGGACTCCAGCACCCTCATCTTCGTCCGGGTGAGCCCCCGTTTCCCTCGTGCCTGTGGGCACGTTTGCACCAGCTAAAACCTGCCACCCCCGGCCAAAGCAGAGCCGGGGTCTCAGGGAGCCCTGTCCTGCTCCGGGCACTGCGGGTGCCTGTGCGGGCTCCTTGCAGATCCTGCCCAGCCACGTCATGGTGCGGGTCGGTGGCGGCTGGGACACGCTGGAGCACTACCTGGACAAGCACGACCCGTGCCGCTGCACCTCGCTGTGTGAGTGCCCCGCTGAGCCCTCCGTGGCTTCGTCCCGTGGCTTTGGTGGCCACTAGAGGTCACAGCAGCCTTGGGGAAGGGGTGACCAGGTTCGCATGGCCCAACCCGGGGGCTGTGGGCAGGATGGGGTGGCCATAGTGCTGGGGACCCACGCCAGCCCTCGCACGCTTGCAGCCTTGTGTTGATCCCACGTACCGGCTCGAGAGATGCCGCAGGGGAGGGCTCTGGAGGTGGCGGATGCTCCGCGAGGGGTGGGAGCGCAGGCGCTGAGCCCCGCTGTCCCTCAGCTCACAAACAGGCCCCGAGGGCTGGCA